GCACCCAGGGGATTCTCAGAGCATGCTGTCTGCTTCCAGGCCTCTCCCCTCCTTCTCCACAGGAGTACCTCTATGCCCACCAGGCTCCACCCAGTGATGGCATGAACTTCTAAAACTTCAGTTTGAGCTCCACTGCTTGTAAAAACTTGTAATAATCAACCCCTCTTGTTTTCCCCATCAATGGTTTTGGGGAATTGTTTTTCTTGTGCAATGCCCTGTGCTCTGTTCCTCCTGCCCCCGTCTCTCTCTCCTCTTTCTCTGATTAGGGCTCCCTCCCCTTCCACAGCACCAGTGATTCTTTTCTCCCCCAAATCATGTCTCTGCATCTCCTACCCTCCATGATGTGGCCTCTAATTGCAGTCTTCAGATTGATTTCCTGGGTGTTCAAAATGATTTGATATTATAGAGCTGCGTTTGAGGGACAAAGCAAGGATAGGGTTCTCCTACTACTCCACCATCTTAACTCCTCTCCCTTTTTTCTTCTTTCTTAATTCTTCTGACTAGCATTCCATTAACATCCATGAACAAGCATTCCAAGCACCACAGTGGTATAAATACATCTAGAGCTATGTTTCTAAACTGTTCTGTGGAACATCAGAATCCCACAAGATATCAGCAGATATGGTGGTTTTTTTTAAAAGTACATTTGAAAAATTTTCATTTCAGTTCAATTTGATAAATAGTATTCAAGTATTTACTAAGAGTCAGATGACGTATGAAACACTGGAGTTGTATCAGGGAACAAAATAGAATATATACAAAACCAAGCTAGAAATGCGGCTCACTTTATCTCCATTTAAAACCAGATTCTGGGCGCCTGGGTGGCTCAGTTGGTTAAGCAACTGCCTTCGGCTCAGGCCATGATCCTGGAGTCCCGGGATCGAGTCCCGCATCGGGCTCCCTGCTCAGCAGGGAGTCTGCTTCTCCCTCTGACCCTCCCCCCTCTCATGTGCTCTCTCTTTCTCTCTCTCTCATTCTCTCTTTCAAATAAATAAATAAAAATCTTTAAAAAAATAAAATAAAATAAAATAAAACCAGATTCTGAGACTTCTAGAAGTGAGGATCCTATCTAACTTTAACCCATTTTTTCCAAACCTATTTGAATATGGGAAACCTCTTTTCCCCTGGGAACATTTCTGGAGAAATGCCTCAATACTATGGATGACTTTTTCACTATCTTCAAGATTTACACACTTTAGGTTAAGAGGATATTTGTACACATAACATCTCAATAAATAAAACATACAGAGAATTTGTGGTAGCATGAAAAAAGTGTCAAGTTAAATAAAAACCTTCAAAGTTTACAGACAACCCCAAATATGGTCATCATTCCATCAGCCCTTCCCCTCCTTTCTCCCCCATCCAGATGACCTCTGCCACTGTCATAGGAGCCTTTGTGGGGAGGGAAACATGGGAATCCTAACTTTTTGAAAGTTCATCAGAAAGTAAAGCCACTAGAAAGGAAGATGTGAAAGCAAAAATAAATTTAAGCCTTAACCACAATGAAGATGGGTGGCCTCTCAGATCAAATAACCTCCATTTTCACTTCATAAAACTCTTCATTTGCCTTTTATGCTGCTTGAAATACCACACATTATTCATTTGAATTAATAGGAAGCCTGTTCTGAAAAATGTAAAAATCACTCTCAAAAGAAGTTTGATATCACAGAGAAAAATGGGCTTTTGAGTCACAGAGGTCAATTAGGTTTTAGTTCTGCTTACTGGCTACATGAATTGAGCAAGTTATTTACTTGTAAACATGAAGATAAATAATTCTACTGACAAGAGTGTTTGGAGGATGAAGTGTGACAATATGCCATCAACAGATGAATGGATAAAGAAGAGATGGTGTGTGTGTGTATGTATGTATGTATATAATGGAATACTACTTAGCCATAAAAAAGAATGAAATCTTGCCATTACCAATGACATGGATAGAGCTACAGAATATAATGCTAAGCAAAATAAGTCAATCAGAGAAAGACAAATACCATATGATTTCACTCATATGTGGAATTTAAGAAACAAAACAAAAAAGGGGGAAGAAAGAGAGAGAGAGTAAGAGAAAAGCAAACCAAGAAACAGACTCAACTATAGAGTACACACTGGTGGATACCAGAGAGGAGGTGGGTTGAGGGATGAGTGAAATAGGTGAAGGGGTTTAAGAAGAGTACACTTATCATGATGAGCACTGAGTAATGTACTGAAGTGCTGAATCACTATATTGTACACCTAAAACTAATACACCATTGTATGTTAACTATACTGGAATTAAAATAAAACACAATAAAAAATAAATAAAATAAAGTAGTCCCAGAGTACCCAGACAGATATTCACATATCAGAGTATATTAGGTCACCAAAAAAGGTTGCTTTCTATCGCAAATGTCTGACTTCAGTGGCTCAAACAGAATGACAATTTTCACTGGTAGAAGGAGAGTTTGGCACTTTGGTTCTAGAACAACTTTTCTCCAGGAATAGGTACCATGCTAGGAAAAGATGAGCAAAGTTTTCTGCACCAAAGGGCTTCTAGGAATTTAGTGCACTTAGCACTTTTGTTCAGTTACATTAGGAGTTAAGTAGTCTTATACGTGGGCTGGGAAGCTAACCAATGGAGACAAAACATGAGAAATTCTGGACCCCGGGAAACAAACTAAGGGTTACAGAAGGGAGGGGGATGTGGGGATGGGGTAACTGGGTGATAGGTATTAAGGTGGGCATGTGATGTGATGAGCACTGGGTATTATATGCAACTAATGAATCATTGAACACTACATCAAAAACTAATGAAGTACTACATGCTGGTTAATTGAACATAATAAATAAAAAAGTTAAAAATAAAGAGTAAAAAAATAAATCAGATAGTATATTTTAAACTTCAAGATACTGTCTTTATGAAGATCTATGAGAACATAACTCCTCTGTAAATTGGGATTTGTATAATAACCATGTTTTTACATTTGTACAATGATAACATTTACCTACAAGAAAGCAGAAGACTAATCTTGAAAATGGAAATATTTAGAACTTACAAATAAAATGATAAAGAGCACATGGTTGACTGAGGAGTGAGCCTAAGGTGCTGCCTTCAGGGAGGGCCTTTCTAGAAAAAGGAAAACCATGTGGAGAAAGAGGTCTATAATATCTTTTGTTGACCCAAACCATCTTTGAACTCACATATATAAAAGTTGTCAGCTTAGAGCTTAGTTACTGAAGAAATGAATATCCCAACTCAGATCATTAACAGTTCGTACTGCTCTATATATTCCTCAAGGTGTGTATTTTTCAGTCTGCAACACTGCAGAAAACAAAGTCACAAAATTATTCACATTATCACCATGTTTTCATTGAAAACATCTTTGGAAATATGTGATGAATATGCCCTTTTAAACACTGAATAACCAAACTTAATGAAGATGAAATGAATATAAATTTCACACAGATTATAGGTTGTGATACTCTGAATAAGTATCACCTATATTTGCCCTTTTCTTAAAGGAATGCAGAGTGCTAATTAGGTCATAATCAGGGATTACTTTTCGTTTTCTTCCCATTTCAAGTTCTAAGAGTTCACTTTGTATTCCCCCCAATTTTTAGTTGGGTAAAATATCCCTTAGTCTTCTAGTTGTATGTTCAACATAAAATTCCATTTTAATGAAAAGTTCTCTACCACCCCCACAAAAATTAGAAATTTTAAATCTTATACACTTTCTCTGAAGGCTGTAGAGATTTCTGTCCATTTTCATGAAAGTCATAATATTTCCAGCTGTGAAAAAATTTTAGAAAGAACTCTAAGATTCCCATCCCCTGATGTATACGTTTCTTCTCCCAGTTATTCAAATCTATGTGCTGCTGTAAGGTAATTTTGTAGATATAATCAAGGTCTCAAGTCAGTGGGCTTTAAGATGAAGAGATTATCCTTGGTGGGCCTACTCTAATCAGGTGACACCTTTGAAAAGGACTAGTTAGTTCTACCTGGAAAGACAGAGAGATTCAAGATGTGAGAGATTTGTTTGAGGGTGATTCTCCATTGCTGGCTGTAGAGATGGAGTGGGCCACATGCAAAGAATGTGGGTGGAATCTAGGAGCTGAGAGAGGTCTGTGACAGCCAACAAGAGGACAGGGACCCCAGTTCAGCTTCAAAGAACTGAGCTCTGGGGCGCCTGGGTGGCTCAGTTTGTTGGGCGTCCAGCTCTTGATTTTGGCTCAGGTCATGATCTCAGGGCAGTGAGATCGAATCCTGTGTTGGGCTCCCCACTCAGTCCCAAGTTGGCTTGAGATTCTCTCTCTCCCTCTCCCTCTGCCTCTCCCCCTGCTCACAAGCATGCTCTCTCTCTCTAAAATAAATAAATAAATAAATAAATAAATAAAAATCTTCAAAGAACTGAGCTCTGCTTATAACCTAAGTGAGCTTGGAAGATGATCACAAATGTCAGATCAAATAGCTGCCCCAACCAACACCTTGATTTCAACCTTGTGAGAGCCTGAGCAGAGAACTCAGACATGACACATACAGAATTATGAGCTAGTTGCTTTAAGCCGCTAACTTTGTGGTAATTTGTGGCAATAGAAAATTAATACACCAGTGTTTGTTTTATGATGCAAGCAGAAAAAAATGCATGAGCACCATGGTGCAGTGCCTCTCTACTTACAATCAGGCTAGATTCCCAAGGCTCTACAAAGCCTATTTCTTTTCAAATCTAAAATGATATTATGCAAATCACTAGCAGGATCTCTCTAGAATGGAAAGTTGATGATGCATTTTTGCTTTCATGCATTTCTTGTTTGTATTCATCAAAGTGACACTGAGTTGAAAGTTTATTCATATAGGATTAAGTAGCTGCGGTTTTAGCCTATGGCTCCTGAAGCTTTTGTAATTTGGCATTGTACACCTGATATTCCCCAGATGTTTTCTCAAAGGAAGAAACATTAACACTCCCATTCATTGGTCTCCATTCCCCACCCCCATGCTCACAGCTCCTTGTATGGGATTTATAGATATGACTGCCACAGCACATGAAGCAGTATGTCATTGGTTATTGAACCATTCTTCTACTGAGAGTCCTACCGTTCAGTCTGTAACAGTGTGAGTTTGTGTGCATCTCAGTGGTGGGATATGATCTTCCTGTCATCTGCTTTCTTCATCTGTCCTAATCAGAGGAACTCTGCTGTGATGGGAAGATAGATTTCAAAGCTTATAAATCTCTTTGAGGTCTAGCTTTTCTTCTTTGGTTCTCTTATTGTTTTTGAATGACTTGAAGATATAGTAAGATTCTCTGAGAAAATGATCAAATAAATGAAGAATGAATGGATTGAATAGATGAATCTATAAATAATAAATCAATTGAAGAATTTTAACATGGACTCAATGGAAAAGCCGTCTGGCACTGCAAAATAATAATAAAATAATAATAATAATAATAATAATAATAATAATAATAATAGTGCCCCAGGAGTTGAAGGCATGAGTTTGAGATGACTGCTAGTTCGGTTGTATCAAAGAAGTCATTTAATCATCTCTGGGCCTCAGTTTTCTCACCTGGGAAATGTGTTGAATTTTACAAGTAGCCTCTAAGTTATCTTTCACTTCTGAATTTAGGTTTTAAGCCATTTAAGAGGCTAAGTAATATTATACTCCATGGAGCTTCTGTTTGTTGTTATATTCTGGCACCTTAGCTTTTGTCCATTGGAAGACATTTTGCCTTTCCACAGCCAGTTGTCTAGATTCTTTTTAATCAGTCAATGCACACACTGTCAATATTTTCTATACTTAACAGAATTCAGATCTCTCAAGTTCCACTAGGTTTATAAGGTAAATGTATTACTTATGCCAAAACTATCATCTTCTTAACTATTTAGGTCCATAAACTGTATCTTTTGTGCTTGCATTTACCTATAAAATATGTTTATATTCAAAAGAAAAAATCCCTATAAATCAACCAATATTTATTTAAAATTAATTCAGTGCAAAACATTGTACTAAATCTTGTGAAGGAAATATGAAAAATACCTTCTGCCCCCAAAGCTAAATTCTAATGAAAGAGATAAATAAAGTTGACTACAATGGCAAGTTGTAGAGAAGGAGCACTACAGAATGAGTTAGACGACCAGGATTTTTTAAGCCACTTGACTCTAATCAAGTATCCTCTCTCTCAGCCTCTGTTATTTCATAGGTAAAGCTGGCATAATATCTGCCTCTCATGGATTTATAAAATTCCTACTCTTTACCAGGCACCTTAATGAATCTTAATAATAAAAATATGAACAACAATAGTCCAGCTCATTGAGGAGTTCACAGTTAAGTTTAGATTATATACATGCAAACAAATACTTGACACAATATCATTAGTACTATTGTTGATCATAAGGTGCTAAGAAAAAAAGCAAAGAGTTATTTTTCTCCTCCTAAATTGTGGAAATTTCCTCTAACCCTGATGTGATAAAAATATAAAATATACAGCATCACATTTGAAGTAGTCTTGTCAAATGAATTTAACCAAAATCTAATCAAGTCTTTAGATCTGTTTAACTTTACAGGAAATGAGGGGGATAGAAGAACAAGTTAAGTGATATCATAAGAAAGCATTCAGACAAGCAAGAAGGTGAGATGTTCTAAAGGACAACCGGTTTGATTTCTTCAACAAGTCAATGTCATTAAAATTTTAAAATGAAACAGGACTTTTCTTTAAAAGACTTAAAAGACATAACAACCACATATATTACACGGTTCTTGATTATGTTCTAACTTGTACAAACCATCAGTAAACATAAGGCAGATAAAAGAGGGAATTTGAAGATGGACTGGATAGTAGGAGATACTGGAGAAATATTGCTACTTTTTCGGAGTGTTATGGTATTATGGTTATGTTGGAAATACCCTGTTTATAATGGTGATTTAGTGAAAAGTCATAATGTCTTATTTCATATTAAAATATGGCAACAAAATGAATGAAGCAAAATGGCAAAAATATTAACAATTGATAAAATGATGTGATAAATACAGAGGCGTTCCACTATACTATTCTTTCTAAATTTCTATGTATCTAAAACACTTCATAATAAAGACTTAGAAGATAAAAAGTAAATAAGATAAGAGATTTGAAATCACTTTGTAAACTCTAAAAGGATAGACAGAGAAAAGAGGGGGAAAAAAGTGCTGGAGGAAGAATAGTCCTTTTAGAAGCATGTGTGCTACTTTGGACCACACTGCTAAGAGAAGTCAGGACTGGCCACCACAGACAGCCAGTGCCTCCAGAAATATAAACCAGGAGCAACATCATGGATTCTCAGATCCTGATCTTTTAACACCTCCCTTCATACCAAGATGACCTTGATGAAAATTGAAGACAAATGGCTTCTTGCTGGGAAAGGTAGACCAAAGCAACTTGATCTTATCCAAAAGAAAACCAGAAAGCCTGTAACCATTGCCATGTCAGAATAACTGGTGAGTTTTCTTTTTCACAGAACAGTAGGATTTGGCACCCAAAGCAGAGATTTGAAACCATGGATGATTGCCCTTCTCATTGTGTTATTACTGACAGTGGTGGCAGTGACTATTGGTGTTCTGACTCACTTGTTAGTCTCTGGTAGGTAAAAATTATGGATTTCATCCAGTTTGATTTCATTTTTCTGTAAACCTTCATTCGTATATATGTATATGTAATTTCATCCAAAAACAGTTTTGTACTTTTACCAGCAAATGCCCACATTTAGAATTTTTTAAATTTATTCAGTAATTTTATTAAGAAATAATTACTGACTGCCTAATTATATATGAGTACTTTTCTGGATGACTCAAGATACAGCATTAAGTAAAGCAGACCAGTTTCCTATCTACTTAGAGCTCACAATCTAGTATTCTTTTGAGATTCTATACAAAATATCAAAAATAATAACAAATTTACTAGCAATCATAACTCTAATCACTCAAGTGAAAAAATTTGATAAATTAGTTATTAAAGTTGGCTCATTTACTCATCATCCTATCCACCAACATTTCAAAGGCAAAAGAAAAACACATGTCCAATGAAATAATGAATTTTGAAATAATTGGTAAACTATAGATATGACAGAATGTTGTTACTTATTTTTAGAGAAAATTTTATTCTTTCCAAAATGATATTCAGGTATTTTTAAATTGCCTAAATAAATAAATAAAACTGATATATTTATAATCACACAAATACTGCATTTTAGAATTCTTTCTAAATTGCATCATTCTCTGCACAGACTGCAAACCATTAATATTTTTTGACAAATCTCCACAGTGTCACTCACACAAATGTATATGATAAAACAACTAGCTCAGGTTGCTTCCTTGAATGGTCTCATCTATTGTCATCTTCCACAGATTTGATGGGGAGTGATGAAGACTCTATCAGGGGCTTTAAAAGTTTTAAGAACACAGTTCTGGGCTTCCTATGACAACCTCACCTGTAGTTTATGCCAATGGCCAAAAATTCTTAGGTCAGTTAATTTGACTGCACAAAAGCCCCTTTATTATGACTATAAGGTTTTATAACAATATGGATTGTATAGATAAATATCAGAGGGGCCAAAAAAGCACTCCTGAGTCCAAGATGTCCCACGTAGAAGATGTACTATCCTGAGATCCCTCTTTCTTTCCTAGGTCCGTAACTGGGAAACCCATTTTATCTTCCCTGAGCCAGGCTCCTCAGGGAGAGATATTGTTCTGTGGTTGCTCCATTCTCTATCTTTAGTTCTTTGTAACTTTCTTGTCCACCACGCCCCCAACAAGGACATACTCCTAAGATTACCAGATTTCCCAGGAGTCTCCACTGCTCTCTGTTTTTTTACCTTTCCCAGTAGCCAAGCAGAGATCTGACTGATTCACCCTAGTTACACAGTGTTCTTATCTTCCACCTCTGACAGTTTTTCCCCTTTCTTTTCCTGTCTTTCTTACTGTTCCTGGCTCTCTGATTACAAATCAAAATTCACAAGGACGTTCATTTACATCTACTTCCAGTAGAGTATAAGGTGGTATACATTTCATTGTCCCTCAACAAGGGACAATATAGGAATTAATAGTTCTAGCTCTAGAGTCAAACTGTCTAGGTTTAAACTCAGGCCACTTACTAGTTATATAGCATGGAGCAAATTACTTAAAACCTCTGTGCCTCACTTACTTCACCTATGAAATGAAAGTAACACCAATCTTAGAGAGCTAGAACAAGGACCAAATGAATTAATACATGTAAAGTGCCCAGAACAATATTTGGCAACATAGTCCACACTAAAAAAATATCAGCTATTATTAACATAAAACATTAATCATTATTTTCATTAATATTATTATGAAACTAAATTTTTAAAAAATCTCATCAATAATTCAAGACTCTATATTAGCCCCATTATATTTGTTTGTGCCTTAGATCCTGAAATCTCTGCCCATATCATGTAATTTTCTACTTTTCCTTTGTATCACAGGCCAGAAAATGGAGTATTATCACAGCACCTTTAAAATTTCAGATCTACGAGTCAATAGTAATTCTGGACAAAACAGCACATACCAACTTAAGGACTTACGGGAGATGAGCGAGAATTTGGTAAGTCACACAATATCCTTTCTGTTGTAAAATAATGTAGATGGAAGGGATTTGTGGATCATTTCCCTCATTATTTCACAAAAGATGATTTTCAGACCCTTGCATCAAAATCACCTTGAAGATTCCTAAGCGCCCCCCCCGCCCCAGATTCACTGAATCAGTGTCTAATGAGATGGGTAGGCAGGGCTGAGGGAGTAAAGGAATCTGTATTCTAACAAACAATGATTCTGACAAGCCACTCTTTCTAACTCATTCATCTCATCTAAAGGTGAGAGAACTGAGGCCGACTGTATCACAGGCTATGGCTTCCCCCATTGCCCCATAATATCACCCAAATGGTAAAGTTTAGCCATAACAGAAATGGTTATTTGTAAACCCACATGCTTTTTTTGTAGGACCACATTTTAAGATTTAAAATATTTTAAAAATATATGAGAGAAGGAAAGATAATCACAAATATTCATTTTATCTCACAAACATGCTAATAAAGATAAAATAGCCAGTGTAATGTTCAAATGTAATATTAATAATTTCATTAAAACTAAAATATAGGATTGCCCCCAAAAAGGAAAAAGGAAACTCAGTTATATAATAGTTCTCCTCAGTATGTATGTGAACCATCACTCAAAAACTAAGCTCAGTTTAACTTCTTTGACAAGGAAGCATGTCAGTACAGTTATTTCAAAAGGGTAGGAATGGCAGATGTATTGGTTTGTTTTAGTAGTCAAAGAACCTTTTTTCCTTTCTTTCTCAAATCAATTTTCATGTTTTCATATCACCATCTGACCTTTATCCGTATGCATACTCAACTGCAACATACTTGCAATAATATCATGGAGTTTATAACCTATATTTTCAAGCCTCACTAAATGATGCATTTTGTTCCATCTTGCAGTCTTTTCCCTCCAAATCATTAATTAACATTTATAGGCTGAAATATATTCTTCCATTCTTTTGTATCTATAGCACCTTAGAAAACAGCATTTGCAATACTTTCTTGAGGAATACCAAAAAAAAAAAAAAATCTTGGATACATGCCCTAGTATTTCTTTTATCCCTTTAATCCTGAGTGACTCCACATAACTTCTTCAATATGAAAACAATAATAAAAAATAACCTGTCTTTGATGTACAAATTCTTTGAACTTGGGAAATGTTTACAGTAAATCGAGAAAGTTTAAGATCTGTTTTCTTTATGTTTTATAGCCAACATTGTTGTTGATGTTTTAGGCTAACCAGGACACTGTCTTTACTGAAGTAAATGGTCAGGAATGCAATAGATCTTTTAAAAGGAAGTGAAGAAATGCAGAAGTGCTTTTATAATAGCAAAATTGTGTTTGAGAGTGGACTTTTAGGTTTCAGTAAAGCATGCATTTCTAGGAGTGAAGGAGCCTCAGGTGCAAAGGCAGAGTTAAATAATAACACATCATGAGCACAGGCAAGGCACTTCTCTGGTCATCATTATTTTTCTCATAACACATTCCCATTCACCTCACTTTGCAGGCAACCATTCTTTATTTCATGTGTATTCTTTTGTTTGCATTCATTCATTCATTCAAAAAATGCATTTTGTTGTTTTGTATGCACATGCTTTAAATTTATTCTTTGTGTTATAAATCACTTGTCTTAGTCAGTTTGGGCAACTATATCAAAGTACCCGACACTGAATGGCTTATAAATACCAGAAATTTACTTCTCAAAGTTTTGTAGGCTGGAAGTCTGAGATCAGGGAACAGCATGGTCAGGTTCTGGTGAAGACCCTCTTTCAGGTTGCACATTGCAGATTTCTAGGTATATCCTCACATAGCAGACCTAAAGGGCTCTCTGGGTTTCTTGTTATAAGGGCACTAACCCCACTCATGACCTAATCACCTCTCAAAGGCCCCACCTCCTAATACCATTACACTGAGGGTTAGCATTTCAACATACGAATTGGGAGGTGGGGGGCAAATATTCAGTCCATGGCATCACTTTTTGTTTCATACTTTTTTACTCAGATGTTTTTAAGCTCTATCCATGTTGCTAAATGTACATCTAATCCATTGCTATTGGCTGCCACAGAATGATTCATAGTGTGTATCTGCCATATTTTACCTCCTGCCCATCAACCCAAAAAATGCTATACTAAACTGCCTCCTACTTGTCCCCTATGGACCTGTGGCAAGTTCTTCTGAAGGCAGAAATACTGGGTCATTAGGTGTGCATCCACTTAATTTGACTAATTAGTGCTGGATTGCTCTTCAGAATGGCTGAACCAGTGTTCACTCTCATCAGCAGTGCATAAGAATTCCTATGTCATCTTTGCCAGCACGTGGTATTATTTGGCTTGCTGATTTCTGCCAGACTAATAGGTAATAAGTTATATCTTATTTGTGATTTAATTTACATTCTTCTAATTACTAATATGCTTGTGCACTATTAAATATGCTTGTTAGCTGAGTTTTCATTTTCTATTAATTTTATTTTATTATGTTGTGTTAGTCACCATACATTACATCATTAGTTTTTGATGTAATGTTCTATGATTCATTGTTTGCGTATAACACCCAGTGCTCCATGCAGTACGTGCCCTCTTTAATACCCATCACCAGGCTAACCCACCCCCCACCCACTCTCCTCTAGAACCCTCAGTTTCTTTCTCAGAGTCCATAGTCTCTCATGGTTTGTCTCCCCCTCCGATTTCCCCCCCTTTATTTTTCCCTTCCTATTATCTTCTTCTTTTTTTTAACATATAATGTATTATTTGTTTCAGAGGTACAGGTCTTGATTCATCAGTCCTACACAATTCAAAGGGCTCGCCATAGCACGAACCCTCCCCAGTGTCCATCACCGAGCCACCCCAACCCTCCCACCCCCCACCACTCCAGCAACCCTCAGTTTGTTTCCTGAGATTAAGAGTCTCTTATGGTTTGTCCCCCTCACTGGTTTTATCTTGTTTCATTTTTTCTTCCCTTCCCCTATGATCCTGTCTTGTTTCTCAAATTCCTCATATCAGTGAGATCATATAATATTTGCCTTTCTCTGATTGACTTATTTCACTTAGAATAACACCCTCTAATTCCATCAACATCATTGCAAATAGCAAGATTTCATTTTTTTGATGGCTGCATAATATTCGATTGTATATATATATATATACCACATCTTCTTTATCCATTCATCTGTCGATGGACATCTTGGCTCTTTCCATAGTTTGGCTGTTGTGGACATTGCTGCTGTAAACGTTGGGGTGCACGTACCCCTTCGGATCACTACATTTGTATCTTTAGGGTAAATACGCAGTAGTGCAATTGCTGGGTCATAAGGTAGCTCTATTTTCAACTTTTGAGGAACCTCCATACTGTTTTCCAGAGTGGTTGCACCCCACCAACAGTGTAGGAGGGTTCCCCTTTCTCTGCTGCCTCACCAACATCTGTCATCCTGACTTGTTAATTTTAGCCATTCTGACTGGTGTGAGGTGGTATCTCATTGAGGTTTTGATTTGGATTTCCCTGACGCCGAGTGATGTTGAACACTTTTTGACGTGTCTGTTGGCCATTTGGATGTCTTCTTTGCAGAAATGTCTGTTCATGTCTTCTCCCCATTTCTTGACTGGATTATTTGTTCCTTAGGTATTGAGCTTGATAAGTTCTTTATAGATTTTGGATACTAGCCTTTTATCTGATATGTCATACAATTGGTTTTGTTGACTGTTTCCTTTGCTGTGCAAAAGCTTTTCATCTTGATGAAGTCCCAATAGTTCATTTTTGCCCTTGCTTCCCTTGCCTTTGGTGCTGTGTCTAGGAAGAAGTTGCTGCAGCTGAGGTCGTAGAGGCTGCTGCCTGTGTTATCCTCAAGGATTTTGATGGATTCCTATCTCACATTTAGGTCTTTCATCCATTTTGAGCCTATTTTTCTGTGTACTGTAACGAAATGGTCCAGTTTCATTCTTCTGCATGTGGCTGTCCAATTTTCCCAACACCATTTGTTGAAGAGACTGTCTTTTTTCCACTGGACATTCTTTCCTGCTTTGTCAAAGATTAGTTGACTATAGAGATGAGGGTCCATTTCTGGGCTCTCTATTCTGTTCCATTGATCTATGTGTCTGTTTTTGTACCATAACCATATTGTCTTGATGATGACAGCTTTGTAATAGAGCTTGAAGTCCGGAATTGTGATGCCACCAGCTTTGCTTTTCTTTTTCAACATTCCTCTGGCTATTCGGGGTTTTTTCTGGTTCCATACAAATTTTAGGATTATTTGTTCCAACTTTTTGAAAAAAAGTTGACGGTATTTTGATAGGGATTGCATTAAATGTGTAGATTGCTCTAGGTAGCATTGACATCTTCACAATATTTGTTCTTTCAATCCATGAGCATGGAACGTTTTTCCATTTCTTTGTGTCTTCCTCAATTTCTTTCATGAGTATTCTATAGTTTTCTGAGTACAGATCCTTTGCCTCTTTGGTTAGATTTATTCCTAAGTATCTTATGGTTTTGGGTGCAATTGTTAATGGGATCGACTCCTTAATTTCTCTCTCTTCTGTCTTGTTGTTGGTGTATAGAAATGCCACTGATTTCTGTGGATTGATTTTATATCCTGCCACTTGACTGAATTCCTGTATGAGTTCTAGCAGTTTTGGGGTGGAGTCTTTTGGGTTTTCCACATAAAGTATCATATCATCTGCCAAGAGTGAGAGTTTGACTTCTTTGATGATTCAGATACCTTTTATTTCTTTTTGTTGTCTGATTGCTGAGGCTAGGACTTCTAGAACTATGTTGAATAGCAGTGGTGATAGTGGACATCCCTGCCGTGTTCCTGACCTTAGGGAAAAAGCTCTCAATTTTTCCCCATTGAGTACGATATTCCCTGTGGGTTTTTCATAGATGGCTTTTATGATATTGAGGTATGTACCCTCTATCCCTACACTCTGAAGAGTTTTAATCAAGAAAGGATGCTGTACTTTGTCAAATGCTTTTTCTGTTTCTATTGAGAGGATCATATGGTTCTTGTTCTTTCTTT